CTCCACCTAGTAGCTTCTTGCTACTAGTAGTAATGTCCTCCAACCTATTCTCAAGGCAGTTGACACAGCTTCTTGGACCCCAGCTTTTGTTCACCCGCCGCTGCTTTCTTTCCAGTTCGAGCTTCTCCTGCAGGGCAGAAATTGGTCTCTTGAAGACTTCTGAACGAGAGCAGGGTTAAGCTGCGGTCAATTGGTGAGTTTCAACACAAGGAAATCCAAAAAACAAACAAGACATGCTGTCAGAATGCAAATGGGAGCATGTCATGTCCGCATGTAGCCCTCAAGGAGAAATTGCCATAGCAATTCTCTATCAAGAACTCTTTAAGCTGCATCATCTCTGCAAATATCAGTAGAGTGGAACTTCCGCTTGCGCCTCTTGAAACTGTGCCAACTTCTCCTCTGAACGGGGGAAAAGACCGGCGAAGTGGTCCTTGTTTGCAAACCTCCCGTATTCTGCCAAGGGCGGCTAAATGTGCGTAGCAAAAAAAACTGTGCAGTTGGAGGCCATCTGATCTGCTAGGAATAGAAAACACACACACACAAATATATATATATAAGAAAGGAAGGTAAGGGACCCTACCTTCCTTTCTCAACAAGTTTTTTGTTTTCTTATACTTTTTCTGGTCACATCGGGGGACGATACTTCTCTCTTCAGAATTTATCCTTTCTGGGTGTGGATCAGTTCTCCACTTACAGCGGTCTCAACGGGTGCATCATGCAGTTCTTCTAAGATGGAAATTAGGAGGAACCTCCAAGTGTCAAGTGCAATGTTCCAGTGTTGAACTCCTCCAAAAGTCCTGCGAGTCGCAGTGTAGTCTTGGCCTTTCAACGGTTGGTCGTCTAGGTTCAGGTTCATGGGAATTCTTTGCCTGCTCCCGCTTGTGCTCTGCTCCCATGGGCTCCGACGTTCGCCTCCAGCTTCTCGGTGACGCCACGCAAGCGCCGCATCCCCGAGCTCACCTTCTGGAGCCTGGCAACACCGAAGGCGAAGGCGCCTGGAAGAACGGATAAATAGGAGCGGCGACAGGTTATTGGAAGTAGCTGACATTGGACAGTAGCTGATCTCCCGTTGAATCCCAAACTAAAGCAAACTAGAAAAATGGAATGGTTATTTCATTTTTCTCAAGGCAAATGGATGGCCTGAACTGCTGCTTGGGTCGTGAGGACTGGGCTTCCTCGTTCAATTTAAGATGTTGAAGGCGAACCAATATTTTGGAGTTGTTTCGGAATCGTTGCAGGAGACTGACAACTGACAAACCCGGCACCCGGAAACCCTTGCAGGAGCCTTGGAAACTGTGTTGGAAAAGGTGGACCAGTGGACCACTCATCTGCGTAATCACAATGAATCAGTGCAAGGTGCAAGTGGAGAAGCTGAGATGGTAGCTATTAGGCTGGAGGCCATCGCTATTAGGTTGCTATTAAGTCGGAGGCCATTGCTACTAGGTTGGGGGGCAGAGCGGCCTTTAACAAAATCCTTTCTGTTTGTGCTTTCGTTTCTCATGAAACCGAGTTTTTGGGACCTCTTTTCCTTTCTTCCGCGCCTCCGCGAAACAGATCGTCCCAAGCATTGATCGAAACTGGTCATATCCTGCAAATGGGTCCCCTGTTCCGATGCCTTAAGAACATGAACAATACAGAAACGATCAGAAACGTCCAAATCATGGTAGCTAGACCCCTTTGGTGTGACCAACACATTATAGCTTATACATGCTTATACCATATTCCGACACTTGATCCTCATTCATGGCAGGCTCATGTCTCATGGGACGGTCGCTTCGAATTCAGTCCGACGAAGTGTTGCGATACTTTCCGGGGTAGGAGCAAGGAAGCTACTAGGGGCTCCTGGCCAATACTACTAGGAACAAGGGCCTTACTAGGAACAAGAATTAGAATAGAATATTTAGAATTAAAATTAGAAAGAAAGGGAAATACGCTGCTATGATGTCTTCTGTGTCACACACCTGGAAGACAAGCAGTCTGACTACAAGGTTGGTTTTGCGCTGAGACGCTGTCAGCCCTCAAGCCTCGCGCTCCTCCTCTCTAAAGTCCTGACATGCAAGCTTGTTGGTGCTCCATGCAAAATCAACCACAGAATGCACATGCAAGGCGTCTGGATCAACACTGCCACTAATAGCCCCTATGCGTTGCTGTGACCTGATGTTCTGATGCCCTCTTACTTGTGGAAAAGAGACGAAGCAGTGTGTGTGTGTGATGGGGTCGGGTTGGTGGTCGGAAATGCCTGGTACTATTCTGAGTAGAGTCTTCAGCGCTCTGCATTGTATTTGATGAGCATGCAATGGCATGATGGGAGCCGATCAGCAGAAAAACAGATGATTTGTCCCAACCAGTAGAAACTTTCATGTGAAAATGTGACTACATAGCCATAGCCCCATCCCGGGCCCGTCCCCATTCCAATGGCCTGGGCAGATCTGAGGACCTCAACAAGTTGGGAGATCACTGTTTCATTCTCTTTGATCTCTGAATCTCTTTGTCAGTTTGTCTGAATCCTCCCGAATATATAGGAGGGGATGCCACAGGCATGGAAGGACTTGTGGTTGCAATTACAATCTAGCTGTCTTCTCCACAACCTCGTGATCTCGCGGAACCCATTATTGAATCATGACTCTTCCTTTCGGGAGATTGAAAAAGAAAGATCTCGGACCAATCCAGCGGTATAACCCATATGATTCTGGTATTGCAGTTGCCCTAAAAATCTAGCAACCAAATGAATAGTGCGAACGCTTCTTCAAGGAAGCTCCCCCCCACGGGTAAGGGATCAAAAAAAAATTAAAAGAATCAAAAAAAATATTCAACGGGGATCAATAAAAAAATAAAAAGGGAATCAAAAAAAAATATTCTAGCCCACTGAGGATGGTTGGTAGTAGTAGTAGTAGTAGTAGTAGTAGTAGTAGTAGTAGTAGTAGTAGCAGTAGCAGTAGCAGCAGCAGCAGCAGCACCACCAGCGTAGCAGTAGTAGTAGCAGCAGCAGCAGCACCAGCAGCAGCAGCGCAGCAGCAGCAGCAGCAGGAGGAGGAGGAGTAGTAGTAGTAGTAGTAGTGGTAGCAGTAGCAGTAGTCACGGCGTTCACACGAAGTTAGGCCCTACATGGCGTTGTCAGAGCGCTCAGAGCAGAGAAGTGTTTGGAATGGGTGTAGCAGCATCGGAAGGTGCCTGGATGGGAATCTCCTCAGGAAAAAGATGTGGTGGACCAGTCTATTTCTAATGGGCGCATTGCGGTCGCAGCCGTACAGGGTCTTTTTCACCACGCGCTACGGTCAGCCGTTTTGCTTGTACTCCTGCATAAAAGGGGCTCGCACGCCAGAAGCTGAAAGCATCTGTGACTGCTTTCTTCGTTTCAGCGTGTTGCGCCAATTGAACTGAAAAACAAAGTCGTGTCGGGTCTCTCCTTCAGTGGCTTCCTCAGGAGCCCAGCAGCGGCCAAGCGCTCGTAGCTCCGCGCTTTTCTTACTGAAGCAGCAGAGGCCTTGGCGTGGACAGGGATGGCACGGACCCATTGCAAACATCTCTGGCAGAGCTCGCGGCTGAAGCGTCAGTATCGTGACAGCGTAGCGCATCCTGGGACGAGCCAGGGCTATCAGCAAGGCATGGGATCAGGGAAGAGTGCGAGCGCACCTCTACAGGAGCAACGTTGGAGGCGACATCCTGGCCAGAGGCAGACTAAGAGGAGTGAAAGCGATATGGAATACAAAACCAGCCTGCAAGAAGGCTGCTTCGCCAACCTCCCAACACACAAGACGCTTTGTGAGTGATAGTGAGACTGGGTCTTGGCCTCATCACCGTCGTCCACAAAATCACCTGGCAAGAGCGTGACGCATATGTCAACAGGCACGGGCCTTTTGCGCTGGTTGCTACCTCCTTCCTCTTCTTCTCCTTCGTCTTCTTCGTGCGCAGCTTCCCTTGTATCCTGCGCAGCGAGGTGGGAAAAGACGAGTGGAATCAGAGGTGACGAGCAGAAAAAGCAATATGTTATATGCCCTGGTTTGCAGCGTGTGAGCGCACCTCTACAGGAGCAACGTTGGAGGCGACGTCCTGGCCAGAAGCAGACTAAGAGAAGTGAAAGCAATATGGAATACAAAACCAGCCTGCAAGAAGGCTGCTTCGCCAACCTCCCAACACACAAGACGCTTTGTGAGTGATAGTGAGACTGGGTCTTGGCCTCATCATCGTCATCCACAAAATCACCTGGCGAGAGTGTGACGCATATGTCAACAGGCACGGGCCTTTTGCGCTGGTTGCTACCTCCTTCCTCTTCTTCTCCTTTGCTTTCTTCACGCGCAGCTTCCCTTGGATCCTGCGCAGCGAGGTGAGACAAGACGAGTGGAATCAGAAGCGACGAGAGGAAAAAGCAATATGTTTGCAGCACATGCGTCAACAGGTAGGTGTGGGCCTCTGTGTCTCCATCATTGTCTTCTTCTTGGGGTCCCTGCGCATCGGATCCCCGTGAAATAGTGTATCAGTGACAACAAACAATGGAGAGCCTCATTACAATCAATGCGCCTTGGACTGGTCTTCGTGCTGGAAGTCCTGCGAGTCCTGCGCACGGACAACTTTTTGACAATGCCCTCTCATGGAGCACAGGAAATGTACAAGCACAAATCAATAAGCAAGCTGAAAGCGAACCACGGTCCTGATCGGCTGGGCTGGGTTCCGGGTCAGAACCACAATGAGCCTGATGGTATAGGAAAAATGGGGAACACAGAAGTTGAATACACGATAAATGTCGGAAGCCGCTGAGGCAGGCACTTTGCAATGCTCCAGGAGTTGGGTGGCCGGGCCACCAGGTAAATCAGGGAGATAGGCTTTCACAGTAGGTAAATCCCATGTGGCAAGCACGTCAACACTGAGCTTCTCTTTTTGGAAGATGGGAGCAAAGGCTTGAAGTCCAAGGTGTTGTAAAATAGCCCGGAGCCGTCGATCCAACCCGCCCACGTTGGAGGCAGCGCGCCCTGCAGAGGAGCTGGCAGCAGGGCGTTTGTGGGCGGGTCGGAGAATTGTTGGCGGCGGGTTGTGCGCCATCAAGCGCCGTGGCCGAGCTGGGAGGTGCGAAACAGTCGTGACGATATGGCCGCTGTGGAGCCAAGCAGCTCACAGGAGCCGTGCAACGAGAAAATGTTGCATCCAAAGCAGACTGCTTGGCGGTGGTGTGGTGCTTCAGCTTCAATGCTGGCGAGGCACCAAAATTCAGAAGCAGACGGGCCGAGGAGAACTAAGACGAAGCTTGAAAGTAACCGACGCAAAGCCTCTAAGTCCACCAGGCCTTCTGACATGCAGCCGGCACGTTGGAGGGCGCCATTGAGAAAGGAAATATCTTTGGCCAAAAACAAGCCTTTTAATTTGGCTGCAAGTTGTGAAGGTGGACGCGCAACTTTGGAATCTGGCGTCAAAGCCCACTCGGCCCGTCCCTTGTCCCATGTGGCCAGTGTACGCCGCATGGCGTACCACAGGGAACCTGAGTCGTCCGAGCACCTGTCGAAAGCAGCTGTCCTGTAGTAATGTTCAGCTGACGATCGGCCCTGCTTTGTCAAAGGCCCTGAGTCGCGCAAAACAAATGGATCCGGAAATGGCTCAGTCGGGACATCGGGGAGCTTCTGAGACCCGACCCGAATTTGTTTTAAGCGACTTTGAGTAAATTTGGCCAACACGCCGAAAAAGATAGGGACCTCTTGGTAGGAAGCAGTGACATACGCTTTCAGCTTGCGGCGGTGCCAGGATTCTTGGGCCTGGGTCCCTGATGCTGACCCCGGTTGGAGGCGACCAAGGCCAGACCACCAATCTGCCGAAATAAGACCTGAATCATCATTGGGCAGGTTGAGATAGTGTCTTCGGAAAGCATCAACACAAGCCCGCTCAGGAGGGTTGGACTGCAGCATGGAGCCAAGGAGCCGGTCAATCGCAAGATGAAAAAGGAGAGCTGAAGGGCAATTGCGTAAAACATACACCCACTTAATATTAACCAGATACGGCCCCCACGACTGGTCGCGCAAATTTGTGCGCATGGTTTGCGAAAAGCCGGCCCTGTAGGCCTGCACCGTGTGATCGGGCACAGGAGTTTGCCGCGGCCTGACGCATGCCCCAATGAAGTGTGAAAAGTCTGCAACCCGCGCGGAATTGGGAAAGACCGCCGGGCGGGCCAAGTTCTCTCCGGGGTGCCAATCACAATGGTACTGAAACACACGAGAGGGTAAGTCAAAGTCCAAAAAAGACTTTGCACACACGACAGCACCTCTGAACAGAGCGGCGTAAGTCGGCTGGCATTCTTTATTTGCAATGGCAAACACGAGAGGCGAATAGGTGCTGCGGAAAGCATATGTGTTACCTGCAGGCCCATAATGCTTTGTCAAAACACCGAGGTTGGGCAAGACCCACCCGTCACGAATTAGGCGGAAAGCGCCGTCTCCGCACAATTTGATATAGTGTTCTCTGTAAACAAGGCAGGGTTGGCGAAGACGATCACAGTGTGTTCAGGAGACAACTCTGCAGACACTACGGCCAAAACATCGGAGTCTAGTGTCACGGACTCCATGCTTGGAGATGTACGGATTAGCTGCTGCCAATCGTACTGGCGCCACACTTTCTTGCATGAGCTCTTTCCCACTTTATGGTTCTTCCGCCAGGTTTTCAGAAAAAGATTCGGGCACCGGACGGTCCGGCTGCAATTCGTCAACGATCCGGAGCAGGTCCTGTGTGGTGACATGAGTGTTGCTTTGCATATGGGCCTTCAGTCGGGTCTCGGTAGTGGAAGTCAGGGGGTTCCATGTTCTGATGAGGTCAAATTGCCCATGTGCGGTTTCTGGAGTGTATTGTCTAGAGAAGGTCTGCGTCGGAACGTCATACTGAGACATTGCGCTCCAGCCAGCTTGATTCTTTGCGCACTTATGACAGCTGTTGCACCAAAGCAGCACTTTGAAGCCATTGGAGCACGAGAGCCATTGATGCCGAATGGCCAAGGTCTTACCATCAATCAAACTTTGTGCCCAATTCTTTTCTGCCGCAAGGAAGGCAGCTCTGCCATCGAAGGCGTTCTCAAGCTGAGTTGGGGGGGTGGCCAAAGTCTTTCTCGGCTTTTCTTCTGCTTTGCACGGGCGTCCCCTGCCCGCCTTGGCCTTTGGCTGCGCTTGTGCGCGAGGGGGTGCTGCCACTGCCTTGGCTTTGGGGCTTCGTCCCCTTTTCCCTCCGGCTAAGATTGGGGGGAGGTCTTGGTGGACAAGGTCTCCCACTTCGGCCTCAAGTCCGAGCTTTTTGCGGGTGTCTGGTAGGAGTTGGGCTAGACTAAGCTTCAAACGAAAGGGGCTTTGTCGGGTGCCCGGGTAGGTTCCTTCGATAACACCTACCTGCATGCTGCGCCAAGGCAAAAACCTCTTCATAGTGCGCTTGGTCTCGGTGTTTGGAGTTCAGGTGGGGCTTGACGTCAGAAAT